CTGCCCCTCCAGTGGAGTTTCCCTGCCTTGTTTATGGCCCAGGAGGCTGATCAATACAATGACATCATCTCTGGCTTCCCTTTGGGTTTGGCTCGTGAGAGGCTCCTGCATAAGATGAGAATGCAGGATGAGCATGAGGTCAGAGTGTTGTGCTCTCCGCTTCCCCGCTGCCTCCATGGGTTATCAGTGACTGTCTACCTGAGGCTACAGCTCTCCCCTCCGGTTACCCTCTCTGATTCCAGGAAACCTTGCCCTCTCCTCCCTCCTTCACACCTAGGAGACATGCCAGTTCCTGCTGTTGCTAGCTCAACAGTGGGTGTGCCGCTACCCTTTATTGGTTTTCCTGAATCTTGCCCACAGCTTTATAAATAGTCCCTTTAGTAAGCTTTCCTCAAATTTTTGCAGTCTTAACTCATACTGGGAGCTAGTGCATTGAATATAGTAAAAACAGCAGAACGTTTGTTTTTTATAAAACACAGATAATTTACTCGTTTTTCTCCCCAGTAAAATGTTAAATCCTTGAGGACAGAAGCTTCATGTTTCTATTCCCATGACATGGAGTAGGTAGGGTTTGCTACAGTTGTATCGATGAATGTTATATGTCATGATGCTGCCTGAATCCTTAAGAATTGTCTAAATTATGTTTCATATGAAGGATTAATCAAAAGTGGGATGTGTGTATCCATCTTAGTGCTTATAGGTATAAGCTTCACCTTGTTGGATAATTCAGTTCCCTGGGATCAAAGAGACTTTTAGGACAAAGTTGAGTACAGCTTTCTTATTACTCGTTGTTCTCGTGAAGAGATCTAAACAACAGTTTGTTGATTTTACCAATTATCTCTGAACTGAAGGAAATACTATTTGTTCCCACTTTCCCAAGAACATAAATTTTACCAAATAAAGATGATGCCTTTAACCTTTTCCCCCAGTAACTTGAAAGGTAGATTGTGATTTATTAAAGTTACCTGTGAACTTACTTTTATTTGCATAACATTTTAGTAGCACTTATTTCTATTACATTTGGTTATATACATTCATAAGATTGTCAATGTGATTATTTTCCTACCAATTTTTGGTTTTAGTATTGCATTTTGTTGTTGATTTTTTCTGTTGATCTAAATAATATTTTATCTTCACGTATTTAATTATACTTATAATTTTGTGACTTGCTCTCTTCTTTTTTTCTTTTCTTTTGTTTTGACCTTCTTTCTGTTATTTCCTTTGGGCAAAACCTTAAACAGTAGGCTGAGCAACCTTGAGGTATAGTTTTAGAAAAGCTTTGCTGAGTAATCATTTGGTATAAAATCACAACCAAATCCATTAATAGAAAAAGGAAAGGAATATCTTTTCAAGGTTAACTTTCTTTGTGGTTACTCCCATGAATAACACATGCTAATTGAGTTCATTTAATTATTGCCTAGATTCAGCTATATTTAAGGTCCATATTTCTGGTAAAGAGAACCAAAAATCCATAAGTTTAAGAGAGCAGATTGTCAAAGAATTTATTCATTAAAGACAAATTAAAACCGTGGAATTTTGCTTATATGAAATTGTAGCCAATACCCCAGGAAAATGTCCAGGAATACCCTAATGATTGGATGGTTTGTTGTTTTTTAACTAAAAAGGCCTGGCCTCCTTGTTCTTCTTTTATTTTTGACATTATTAAATATTTTCAAAACCTAAATAAATATTTTGTTTTTTTAGAGATAAACATTATATATTTTAAAGTACATATTTGTTTTGTGGGGTTTTAAATTAATTTAATAACTTCATTTGTTATTAGTATGTTATTAATATATAAATATAAATTATAATTAATTTAATTTTAACATAATGTATATATTAATAAATTAATTAATATTAATTGGGTTATTAATAACTGAATAAGCACTTGACTTTACTGAAGTGAGAGTGGTTTTGAAATCTGTGGGCTCTAATCCACTCGAGAACTAATTGTTTAGGGAGTATCACCAAACAGCAGTGCCTTTCACCTCTACTTGACTCTATTAACAGGTATATTATGTGGAGTATTATTTATAGTTGTTATCCATTTGGAAAATCACAAAGTGAAATAATGAAAAGTTAACAGGCATTGACTTAAATAATTTTATTTTTCTGAAAGTTTGCTAAACTTTCTGTGAGAGACACAATTTAATTTAAACCTCCACTTTCCTGGGAAAGATGGTGATAATGTTTACACTGAAATCCCTGTGCTGTGTACAGGAGAGGAAGAGACCTGAAAAGGTGGGACTGATGGCAGCCACTTGTTTGAGAAGCTGCCTTGTTCAGGCTTCAAGGCAGACTGCACCTCCTTCAGCCATTTCCTAGCTCAGTGACCTCACACAATTTACTTATTTAGGCCCTCAATTAAGTGAGAGCAGTTTGCTATGTTATTTGTTTTCACACTCTGCCCCATGGAGCACTAGGGTTTCTTGGAGTCTCCTCAGGAGTCCTATGGTGGGTAGAATGGGAGGCCCAACAGGAGCAGTTTCTCTTGTAATTGATTGGCCCTGAGCTAAATCTGTTGTCAATCTTCCTCTTTTTCTTTTTTTCTCCCCAAAGCCCCAGTACATAGTTGTATATCCTAGTTGTAGGTCCTTCTAGTTCTTCTATGTGGGACACTGCCTCAGCATGGCTTGATGAGTGGTGAGTAGGTCCACGCCCAGGATCCAAACTGGCGAACCCTGGGCTGCCAAAGCAGAACTTGTGAACTTAACCACTATGGCACCGAGCTGGCCCAAGTTTCTTCCAATAAAGGCCCAGTTTTTTCCAGTAAAGGGTTGTATAGTTTTAAAAAGCTTGGTCACCTCCAAGGTCCCTTTTAGCTTTATAAAGCTCATCCTTCTGGTTGTAGTCTTTTTTCTTCATTTCTTTTGCGGGGGAGGCTTATAGTCAATCAGGGTAAAAGATAACTTTGTGAATACAGTTGAAAGGTAAAAGTACTAAATTAGTGTTTGGATTTGGAAAGGCTAAGTAAATGAACTCATATGAGAGCATCACTTTCCTTTAAAAAGGGAGGGGTGGGAGAAAATATACGTAGGATTTTAGCCCTGGAAGAAAATCCCCATACTTGGACAAAAGCTTGAAATTGGCAGCAGTGAAGGATTTAAGAGAACTCAAGAAAAGTGAAAAACTAAAAAGAACTTTTGGCCTTTTTTTAAAACTTGAGATGATAATCTTATAAATCAGTTTCCTTGTGTTTCAAAAATAGATAATATGCCCTATTATTTGCTTTGGGCAAATTTTTTAAGCTTTCTGGAGTCTCTATGAATTAGAGTAAATTGGTATTATTCATATTTCATAATACATTACTTCAAAAGTTATTCATGGCTATTTTTAATTGATTTGTTCATGTAAACAGAAAATGTAAAAGCTACTTGAGTTATAGTTTCATATTGTCTCTGGAATATCCAAACAGGCATCTGTATTAAAACTAAATAGTTAGGTCAGTTTTCTAGCTATTTTATAGAGACCTGAATTTTTTTTGTCATCTCACTGGGATGAGAACAAAGGAAGTAGTGGTTATTCTTGGAACTCACATTCAGCAATTCCTTACAGTTTCTTTCTCTACGTGGTATAATTGGTTAATAGCACAAATTCCAGAGTCAGGCAGCCTGGATTCAAATCCTGGCTAAATGACCTTGAGCATGTCATTTTACCTCTCTGTGCCACTGTTTCTGTACCTATAGTGGAAATAACTGTTTCCTACCTTGTAATGTTGTCGTGGGGAGTAAATGAATTAATATATGTCGTGCACTTAGTACAGTCCCTAGTCCATAGTCGGCATGGTTTTGTGTATTAGCTATTGTTATAATACTGAGCAGAAGAGCAGAGATTTTAATCCTTAATGAAAATCCAACCTACTTGAGAGATAAGAGAGTCTGTACACTCTAGTAGGTGGAAAGGTGTAAATTTGGTGGAATGAGTTCAAAAAAAATTAATTTGGCAGCATTCTATGAAAAGGATTGGTACAAAGAGACACCAGAGTCTCAGGAACCAGTTAGGATGCTCTGTTCCCAGGCAAGAGGTAAAAATGTCCTGAACTACTGTCTTAGTCCACTCAGACTACTATAACAAAAATACATAGACTGGGTGGTTTATAAACAACAGAAATTTATTTCTCACAGTTCTGGTGTCTGGTAAGTCTGAGATCAAGGTGCCGGCAGATCCCATGTCTGGTGAGGACTCACTTCCTGGTTCCTGGACAGCCGTCTTCTCACTGTGTCCTCACATGGTGGACGGGGCGAGAGAGCTCTCTGGGGGCCCTTTTTAGAAGGATACTGATCCCATTCATGAGGACTCCACCCTCATGACCTCATCACCTCCCAAAGGCCCCACCTCCTAATACACGTTTGGGGTTACAATTTCAACAGATGAATTGGGGATTGGAGGGGTGGGGACACAAACATTCGTTCTATTGCAGCAACCATCGTGGTACTGGAGTACAGGCTTATATGTAGGGGAAGAGGGAGAAGACATTAACCTTAGACTTTCCAACTGGGTGACTAGCCTTATAGATGTAACAAACCCAGGAATGTTCTGTGGTTTCTGAACAGTTTCTATATATTGAGAAATAAGGAATGCAAAATTTAAAAGACTAATAAAGATTAAAGGTGGCCATATCATATTATACTATATTATTTATACAATAAATAGCAAATAAACTTCATAAAGAAGCATGTAGATAAGAATAAGATCTTTTAAAGAATTTTCCTCCAGTTAAGAAAAATGTATCCTATTTTTCCAATTCTTTCATTCAGATTCCTACATTACATTGTATCAGGCCTAGAGATTTGTTATTCTTTGATTCTTGTATCCCAAGACTATTGATGCAATGATGTGAGGAACTCAGACATAAAACCTGTTGAGAATTAAACCATCACCTTCTGCGTTTGATCCAACATACCATATATCTAGAAATATATGTGACATATATATAATTATTCCGAGTTGCGTATAATTTTAGTCTATTATTTCATAAGTATTTTTATTATTTCCAGGTTCGATGGATGATGTACTGGATTGTTTTTGCTCTCTATACTGTGATTGAAACAATAGCAGATCAGACAGTTGCTTGGTAAGTTCTAGTATTGAGAAAGGGCCAGACTAAAGACTCATTCTCAGGTGTCCTGAGTTCTTTTTCTGTTCTGGCTGGTAACTAAGTGAATTTGATCAAGTTACCTAATTATCCAATGTCTCATTTTCTTCATCTGGTTTCCCCATAAGAACATTACTTTCCTTACAGTGCCCCTCAAATAAAGGCAGCTCATTCTTCTCCCCAAGTGCCATGCCCTGCCCACCTCCCACACACCTGCCAGTATCTTGCAATAGAGAAACTTGGTTGTCATTTGTCCTTTTTCTACGCTGATGACTTCAGGCTATTTTTCCTTATCACTTCCTAAACGACTCCTCTTTTGAAGCCCACAGCATCTGGTTTTAGCACTCCCTCCCCACCATTAAAACTCTCATCTACAAACATTAAGACTACTTCCTAAACAGACTCCTCTTTTGAAGCCCACAGCATCCGGTTTTAGGACTCCCTTCCCACCCTTAAAACTCTCATCTGCAAACATTGAGACTGGATGACGTCAGCATCCACGTGGACACCCACTCACCACCAGCTCCCTGGCTCCTCTGTTCCAAATAGCTGAGACAAAATTAAATTAAAGCACGTTGTCCCCAAGGATTTAACATTTTACTGAGGAACAATACTTAGTGGAACTACTTAAATCTCCTTGTGCTATATTTCAGTAATGCATTTCCATCTAAACCTTGCCATCACTTGGAGAAGTCCTCCTCTCAAAGTCTTGACACTTACTATCTTGCCAGTATCTTCAGTTGCCCTTGCTGCACAAACCTTCAGCCTAAATTAGCCCTTCTTTATTTCTTTACCTGGGCTACTAAATGCAGCCAATAAAATCAGTCAGCTGCTCATATAGGTATCAATTTGAACCTCCCTGTTTCCTTTACTTGCCACTTCCTTTCCCTTCTGTATCTGTTTCAAACATTTGCTTTTCTCTCCTTAAACTGTCTTTCTGACTTTGCTGTTCTCATCGTATTCTCACAGCACATTAGGTCACATTGGATTGCTAGAAAAAAATAGAAGTCATCAGACTTAAATGTTCTTAACCACCTGCCCTTATTTATGAACTTCTCTGTATCTGCACCCATCTTTCTCTTCTGCTTTGAAATGTAAGTTTTCCTTTCTCTGTCCCAAAGCTCATTCATTTACTTCTTAAGTTTTTGGTGTAGGGGTTTGGGGGAGGGTTGGTTGGTTGTTAAGTGGCAGAACACAGATTCCAAACCATTCTAGCTCTCTTAACTTTCAAAGTTCTCTTTTTAAAGATTTATTTTTTTTCAGATTGCAAATTTCGCATATATACATTATTAAAAAGTGAAAAATGTAGAAAAAGTTTACCATGAACAATGGAAGTCCAGAAACTCCTCTGTAATTACACTGTGGCAGAGACCCTTTGCTGACTACACTGTAGTCATTCCTTACTTGCCCCTGTCCCTCTACCTCATCAGAAGAGCCCAGATTTTCAGTTATCATGTCTGCTGGTCCCCACATGGTGTAGTAGTTAACTTTTGCAGTAGCAACAAACAACTCTAAAAGCACAGAGGGTTAAAAAAACAAACATTTATTTCTTGCTCAAGCTGCTTGAGGGCAAATCATTGGCTGCAGCTTTGCTGGGCTCAGTTCAGTTTTAAGTGTCTTCTCGTTTCAGAACCAAGCCTGAAGAAGCAGCTGTTCTCATGGCAGGAAACAAAAGTTTAAAGCAAGAGGTTGGAGGTGTTGGAGTGAGGGTATTTAAAGCTTCTGCTTGCATGTGACGAAGGTCACACTCACATTCTGTTAGCCAACGCAGGTCACATGGCTAAACCCACAGTCATTGCTTGAGGAAGAGTATTTGGCCTACAGGGAAGGCACTGCAGAGTCACATGGAAAGGGCGTGGGTGTATAACCCTAATTCCCCCTCTACCACAGTGGTAATTCCTTTCTCCTTGCTGGTGAACAATTTAGGTCTGCACAGTGCTGGAATTCTGGCCAAATGAGATTGGACGGGAAGTTTTCTGGGAGTTCTGAGAAAGAGAAGGAGATATGTGTATGGGGTAACATTGTGCACTTGGAGCATGTAGAGTCCTGATGCTTGAGGGTATGTCAGGAACTGCCGTGGTAGTTGGGCTCTGCAGACAGGGTGGGTCTACCTGTCTGCCCTGGTTACATGTTATTAATGCCCTCTCTGAACTGCTGCAGTCAGCTGGCAGCTTGCCTCTACCTGCTTAAATGGAAGAATCTTGTACTAGAAGGTGTGAATCTCTGCAGGGATCAGGCCACTCTTTTGTTAACTGATCTATAGTTAATAAGTTTAATTCATAGATTCAAACATAGTTGTTTCCCTGATCACTCACTTGTACATGTGAAAACACAGTGACTGAACTTTTAAAAAGCTTTGTTGTGATTTCCTCATTGTTTGTAGTTTATTTTCACCATGGTTTTTTCAAATTTTTTCTTGTTAGGTTCCCCCTGTACTATGAGCTTAAGATTGCTTTTGTCATATGGCTGCTCTCTCCCTATACCAAAGGAGCAAGTTTAATATATAGAAAATTCCTTCATCCACTTCTTTCTTCAAAGGAAAGGGTAAGACATATAAATTATTTCCACAGATCATTTGTTAGAAATGTACATCATCACATGCTTTATGCTATAAAATTAGTGACAGTATTATAATATGGGGGTAAGTAAGTCCTAGTATTTGGCTTCTTGGCATTATTTTTAAATAAAATTAATATATGTGGGTTTGGGGTTTTTCTTCCCAGGAGATTGATGATTATATTGTACAAGCAAAGGAACGAGGCTATGAGACTATGGTAAACTTTGGGCGGCAAGGTTTAAACTTAGCAGCTACTGCTGCTGTCACCGCAGCTGTGAAGGTAATTTTTTATTTACTTTTTTCATCCAAGGTCACATTAAGTCAGTGGATAAAAGTAGGGTAGCTTTTTATTTCAGATCGTTATAAAATTTTGACAGAATTTTGTTTTCTGTTTATTTTTATAATACTGGAAAGAACAGATGATTTTAAAAACATTTTTACATGTTTTCTGTAACTACTCAATATTTTGAAACTCTTAATTGATCACAAAATGAGAGCTAGTTAATAAATAAAACATACCTGAAAATGTCATTTTGTCATAATTTTCCTACTTTATAACCTTAAAATAGTTTTGCATAAATCACCTTTAGTAAAGATGACCATTCTTTCTTTCTCTGTCTTTGGTATTCTCTCTCTCCCTCTCTCTCTATCATAATATCTTGGTAGGATTTCTGGCTTACTTCTGCACCCCTACTTCGACCAATTTGAGGTAACTGATTATTCAAAATAAGGCATGAAAAAATTCTGTTCTTAAGACTTGAGATTTTACTTAGCCAATTACTAATGTCATGTGTTGTGTTTTGCAAGCCAAGTTATCAAGTGAATGCCTTCTGTGAAAACTTGCGTTACGGCTTTCGGATTTCTTTGCATGTAGTAATTAGTGTGGTTTATTTTAAATACCATAGCATAATTGATTTTGGTGTGTAGTATATGGAAAGAAAACAGGCTTCAGATCCAGAAAGTGCTGAGTGTGACTTTCTAAATAACTGTTGGTGATTTACTTAACTTCTGTGTTCCTTAGTTGCTTCATGTATAAAATGGGGATATTATACCTGTCTGTGAGAGCATATTATAAAAACACAGTGCTTGCCAAAATATAGTAAGAGCCCGATAAACTTTAATATGACATGTCTCTGTCTCACTTCAAGTGAAAATTTGAGTTTGTTGCTATTAAGTTAAATTGAGATTAAATAGTATTCTAGCTTTTGAGTTAGACTTTTTCAACTTAGTTATCTTGAAATAAAACAACAATGCTATGGAAATAAATATTCTAATTAAGTGGTGATTTTATCTAATAGCAATGGTGAAGGGATGTAAAATGTCAAATAGAATTCCCAGAATGAGCTTTCACTTTTCGTAGTGATCTTTGGCTCAAGTACCACAATTAATATGATCAACAAGATTAAAAATCAAAATTATATTTAAATTATATACCTAGAAGTGTTGCATTGAGGATTAAGTGGAAACTTACTAACTATGCAGCACTAGACATATAAGACAACTGTATTATTAATGATTATTAATTATCTACACTTTAATGTAGTATAGTTTGCCTGTTATTTAGCTTTTAAAGGCTTTTTCCTTTATTAGTGTAGATATGAACAAATACTAAAATAGCAAAATTTTCATCTTATTTAAGGACTATTTTCCATTTTAGAAGAAGTTCATTTGCTTTTCATTTCTTGCTTAATAAAAATACATTCCTTATTTCCATATCTACTAAAAAAGATCATTCAGGAGTTCCAACATTCAACAATTAGGAATTCTACCAAGAGAGAACAGATGCAATTATCCAAGAAATAATACAATATTTCCCAGAACTGAAGGACATGAATCTCCAGGTTGAAAGGGCCCACAAAGTACCCAGTGCAATCAATGAGAAAAAGACTGACTCTAAGCAAGGTCATTGGAATATTTCAAAACACCAACGATAAGGAGAGAATTCTTAAAAGATTCTAAAGATAAAAAGTATGTCACATTCAAATGATCACGAATCAGAATGGCATTAAATTTCTGTGTAGTAACAATGGAAGCTTGAAGACAGAAGAGCTTGTAATGGTGAAGCTCTCAGTCATGTGTGAGCTTAGAACAAATCTTTTTTTTTTTTTTTTTTCCTATTTTAGGCATGCATATTCACAAAATTTACCTCCTATGCATCCTTTGTCAGGGTAGATATGCTCTGCCACACTTAGGGAATAATCCACGAAAAAGGAAACCCATGGGATCCAGGAAACAGAGTATCCAGCACAGAAGGGAGGTGACAGGAATTCCCAGAAGGAGCTCTAACAGCAAGTCCAGAGTACAAGTGGCCAAAATTGGATGTGATGCGTGAAGGGTGCCAGGACAGGTGTCTTTGGGAAAAGTATAGAGCCAAGAGTATCTAATAGGTTTAAACCTATGCAGGGATGATACTTAAACCAATCAGCACATGCTGTGACCAATCAGAAGACATACTGGCTATAGACAGCAGGTACCACAATGGAGCTGTGCATCAGCCCTGAGCACCAATGAAAAATGTACTTGAGGCAGTGTGAAGAGGGAGAGCGTAGGACAACTAAGCAAATGAGTCAGAAAAAAAGGGATAATTGTTAACTCCAGAAAAAAAACAAAACTTATATAAGAAAGGAAATATAATAATGGAGCATGACTTAGCCCAGTGGTGAACAGCATTTACATCACAGTTATGAGAACACAGACTATGGATTGAACCACTGTGATTTTGCTCTATTGGGAAGATGGGGGAAGGAGAAAAGAGGGTGGAAGAGAACTAAAATCCTCATCTGCTGGATAGGAAAGTAGAAGGGTTTAAAGTGGTGCCTGGAGAGGAGAAGGGGACCAAGCAAAAAAACAAGAAAGCTTGTTGCTTTCTTTTGTTATAAAATTTAGCATTATTTGACTTTGCAAGTGAACTACATGTATTTATTTACACCCAAAAGAAGATGCTTTCTGAATTTTCCATATTTAAAAGCATCATTCAAGATGATTCTATGGCAAAAAACTGAAAATTAAATTTCAACTTGAAAAATTGCTTAGAAAATATAGACATTTTAGGATATGTTTTGGGAAACATAGAGGCATACAAATCCCATTTTTCCTCCTCACTTTAACACTTAAATATAGTTTATAATCCTGCTACTCTGTGAGACTGCTTCCTACGTATTGTGACTATTTTGTGGGATATTTATTTTACTGTGACTTATGTTTACTACTTCCAAACCCTCTATGTGGGGAATCAGAAATCCCCACTATATTGTCTTATCCTCATTCCCTCTTCGTTTATTATTATTTTATACTTGGCTGCCATTAGTATTTAGCATCCTTCATATTTATTCAACATCTGTTTGTTTAATGCCTACTATGTGGTAGGTGCTGAGGCTGCAACAAGGAACAGGATAGGTACGGACCCTACCCTCACAGGCTGCTGTCTAGCTGAATGTCTGTATTCACTAACTGAAAACTTTATCTCATCTTTGGTTGCTAAGAGCCTCCCCTTTGCCCTCCATTATTAAAATAAGCATAAACTCACAGAAATACTTTTCTGTAGAAAGGCTATAAAAGCAATCCTATACCTACATTTCTCTGGCTTTATTTTTTGTGATTCATTGTTTGCTTTTATTTATATACTTAACGTCCTTAAACCACCTCCCCACCTCAAAGTCCAGAAACAGAGCATAAAAATCATCTGAGTTACCACGGCAAAACAAACAAACATATCCTGTAATTTGAATTCATTTTGGAACTTTCTCTTTCATTTGTGATGTGGTGATCCTTTTGTTATCAAGATCACTGTATATGAGGTACCCTCCCCATTCTCAGCATGAACACAGGGATGTTGGCTTCAACCATCCTGGATTTCATTTATTAGAAATAGTCATTAAATTTGCTGAACATAGCATAATATTAACACTATTTGCCTCAAGTTGTACTGTGCCTATTTCAAGTAGGTGAAATTAGTTGCATCTCTGGAGATGTCAAAGAAAGGCACTGCGATGGAAGAATCGCTGAGCCATCATACTGAAGAGTAAGTTGAAACTGAAATAGGAAATAGGTCAAGTTTAAGGAGAAACTGCAAGAAAGCCAATAGTAAGACTTGAGAATTAATTTAAGATCTTTATAACACATAATTTGTTAAAAATATCTTTCAGGCTAAAAATGATTGGACTCTTAGTGTGACCTTTAAAGATCGGTGATATCCCTGACGAGGTTTCCCAGGTTGAACCCCTTGAGCATGTTGAAGATGAAAATAGGAATCTAATCAGAACATTTATTACACCGTAAAGCAATTTTCTGAAAATGTTACTCAGTTCTATGACCTCATTACCAGGCATCTGTTCACAAGGTCAGTGTACAGGTTCATTTTGGCTGAGCAAAGCATAAATATATGAAGGACCTTCAAGGATTTTGCTGAGGATGTTCAACATTCCATAGCTTTTCACATGAGAAATGCAGGTGGCTTTTGTACAGGTGAGCAACACTACTGCCCAATGAAGGACAGTTGAAGAAAATACTCTCAGTCATATTAACCATCTCTTTGAATTTTCTCTGGCAGCCTTTTCTTGGTGAATTAGCAGATATTATAAAAAATCAATTATCACAGAAATTAGAGCCTTACAGGTAAAATTGCTGAAGTCTAATTGACTTTAAATGATGATTAGGTCAAAAATCCTGACATCTTTTTGTCTGCTTTAATGGCTTTCTGTTTGTAAAAGGATTTGAGGATATTCAGCTACTTAGTATCATCCATTAAAAAAGAGAGCATTTGTCCAGACAATGGAAAAGAAAAGTCATACTATTTTCCCTACAAAAATCCAGGGAAGCAGAATGTTGTAATGAACATTGAATTCTCTAGCAGTCTAGTTACCTGCATTTTTTAGCCCTAATTCTGCCACTAATTAGTCATGAGATTTTTGAGCACATCATCTGCACTGATTTCTCTAAGTATTAATTTTCATACCTATAAAACAAAGAGGTGAAACCTGACTTCTAAAACCTCTTATGTCTCTAAAACAGTGGTTCTCAATTGGGGGGAGTTTTGCCCCCCAAAGGGACATTCGGCAATGTCTTGAGACATTTTGGGTGTCACAACTGAGGGAGGGGGTTGCTGCTACTTGCATCGAGGGGGTAGAGGCCAGGGATGCTGCTTAATATTCTATAGTCCACAACAAAAAGTTATCCAGCCCAAAATAGCAACGGTGATGAGGCTGAGAAACCCTGCTCTAAAAGTATGATGAGTCAGAAAAAGCTAATAGGATATATAAATATGTATAGGTAGCTTTGGTGATAGGTTACAAATAATTTTATTTTCTTTTTTATGTTTTTCTCTGTTACAAATGTTCCTCAGTAAATATATTTTGCTTTAATCTTAAAACCACTAAAATATATTATTCACTTAATGCAAATGCAGTCAATTTCATTCTAGGCTTGACCAGGTTAATTGTTGAATGTCCATGGGGAAAAGAGATTTCCCTAAAAACTGGGAACGAACCTTATCTGCAATTATAATGTAATATGTCAAAGATCAATAAGAAATAGAGCTTAATGGCTATTCATTATTGAACAGTAGAGGAAGAATTATTCTGTAAAAGATTGTATGCTTGTGAGATTATAAAGCATTACTGATTATGTTCTTAAATTCTTAATACAAAATATAAAGAGAGTAGGCTGAAGGTTTTATACAAAGGTGCTAAGCATAGTAAATTCCTCTTATTTAACACAAAATATAGTTATATTAATTTAATGTTTAACCAGGAAATGAAATATTTAAACAAAGGCAGAATTGTTTGGGTGTAAGAAGTGAGAATTAGTCATACGTGCAGGGTTCCTTTTTACAGATGCCAGCCGTGTACCTGGATACTTGAGTCGACATTCAGATGTCCCGGTGCCCTTGGATGTAAATAAGCTCTGTGTGGGACCAACTCAGGGAGCTGCTTCTCAGCTAAAGAATCTTTCCCAGAGCTTAAATGTGTAAGATCTGAACCGCGCCCCCTAACCCAGTCAGCCCCTTTGTTGTTCTCATTTTCGTAAATGGATGTTCTGGGCCCGTCCGTATTCAAACCCTAAGAACTTGAGCCACCTGAAAGGTTTAGGAACACTTCTGCTAATGATTATCAGTTTTAATGTAAAATAGTCTACAAAATACTTCTTAATTACTTTGACTTTTGTATTCTCATCATAATCTTTCTGTTACTTTCTCTTCGATTTTTAGGATCAATTTTAACATAAATAGTGTACATACAATCCTGCAGAGAATAGGATCTAAAATGCTGGGATTTAGAATTACCTTGTGGATGGTAACTTACTTCCTCCTTGTTGACTAAGGCTGCTGTTTGCACACATAGTTTCCTCCTCGGACTAGAACCTTTCTTCATTTTTCTTATACTTTTGGCTTAATATTGTATAAAACAAATAGAAGAAAATAAAGCATTATAAATTTAAATAAAACATCAATACGTTTTAGCATTGTTATTGACAAGTGACTGTAATGTCCTATTTGTGCCCTCAAAATAGAGAAACAGTTTTTATGTTTGGAGTAAGAGAATAGATACAGGGAAAATGAGCGGGAAATAGATCAGAAATTTTGATAGTGTACCACATCACAATTAGAACTTCACTATACCATCTATGACTAATTTTGTAATATTAAAGAAGTTGTTGGAAAAAAGGAAAAAATCACCCATCTCATCTGCCTAAATATTTTTCTAAAAATGTTTCTAAAAAGTGTTTCTATTTTGTGTATTTTTCCCTGTGTACTCATAACCATACTGCATACTTGCAACCGTATTATGCATATGATTTGGAATTCCAAGGTAGAGGGGAGGTATTTCCACTTAACATTTTATTGCAAACACAGTTTCCTTATTAATGACTTTTTGTGCTGAAGATGTAAAAATTGGAGGGAATAGGTCTGCCTTTATATGTGATTATTTTATAATTACACCTGTCCTTCAAAGTGGTCACATTGGATATTTATAATTCATATAATGTTTCTGAAGTTCACAATACTGCAATAATTCTCTCCCATATTAGTTCTATTCTGGGCCCATAAGAAAATATACAGTGGAAAATCCGATTTTTCAAGGTGATAATGGCTGTTGAAGATCTGTGGGTCCTCAATGAGGACCCTTTTTGTTTTTCCCTACGGTACCTGGCCTTTCTTGAACCCTTGAGGAGATTGATAATACTGAGGCTATAGAGTTGGTTACTTAAGAGCTACATTAAAATCCAGGCTATAGTGGGCCGGCCCCGTGGCTTAGCGGTTGAGTGTGCGCACTCCACTGCTGGCGGCCCGGGTTCGGATCCCCAGCGTCCACCGACGCACTGCTTCTCCGGCCATGCTGAGGCCGAGTCCCACATGCAGCAACTAGAAGGATGTGCAGCTATGACATACGGCTATCTACTGGGGCTTTGGGGGAAAAAATAAATAAATAAAATTATTTAAAAAAAATTAAAAATCCAGGCTATAAATAGATCACCCAGACACCTCAGGGTTGGTCCTAGCTCACTTTTAGTCTAAACCTAAAGCAAACCTTTGGTGGATGGTGTAATCTACCCACATAGATGCCCACATCCATACCTGTAGTTTGCTGCCGAACGTCTGCATATAAACTCCAGTGTTTACATTAAAACATGCTGCTATCTATGGAGAACTCTCTAGCAGTCAAGAGTAATGAAAAAGAAGAGGTATAAAAAGAGTATTTAGTTTACTTGTTACATACTCGATATCAGTAGCATATCAGGTGCACTAGGAGAATAGAAGAAGCCTAAGATTTGTCCCTCTTCTCTAGTTTCTTAAAATCTTGCTCTGGAGGCAAAATATACACAGTACAACAATAGAACGAACAATAATATGTGAGTTCATTTGTGAGATATGCCCTGAGTAATTAGTTGATTATACTCATTAAAGATATCAAAGTTTGTGGATGATATGAAGCTAGACTGATTGAATGGCACTTTGACTCACTTGCATTCTGAGATGTACTTTCTTGAGTGGGAGGGTTTGCAAGTTACAACCAGCCTTGGAAATTGCACCTGAGTTGGGAAGAGGGTATCGTGGACGTGTATGCCATTTATCGTCTGTTTGACAGTAGGTAAAAAGTCAAGAATTGCTGAGAGAAAGCACAGAAGTATAAAGGTAGGAATAAAGAAAAGGACAGTTCTGAGAAAACAAGGCACCTGTTTCAGATGAACATTAGTCACTTCCTTTTCGTGTCTCTAAATTCGTCTGTCATCCTCTGTTTAATAAGTAAATGATATCTGATAGAAAGTATAGTTAATTAAAGCATGCCAAGAATGTTTAAAGATGTATGGAATCCAATTATTTTTATTGAGGATGTAGACCCTTTAATTTAATAATTCCTTTTCACAATTCAAAAAATATGGTAGAAATACAAAGCTTAAGTGGGGTATGGGAATGGTGTTTGGTTTTGACATAATAGGATATCACTGACTCAGAGCAGCTGAATCAAGACTCATGAATCAAGACCTTTTTCTTGAGTGTAAAATATATGTTAGGAGTAATGTTTGAATGTTTGTAGTGCCTTAGGCTTTGAAATTAGAGATGAACCATTATGGATGAGTTTCTACAGTAATGTTGTAATTAGAGGCAATCATAAATTCACATGTATGAGAAGAAGAATAAGTGTAAAAAACCCTTTAGAAGAATATTTTTAATCCAGCTATAAATAAGAAATGAGTCATCTATATGCTATGCAAATTTTCAAAGTGGATAAGCTTAGAAATTATTTTTTTCTCTTTACAAAGCTTTTTACTTGGGGGGAAATGTAGTTATGTCTGAAAAGTTCAGAAATGTCCCTCTCAAAGCTGTGTAATGATGAAATCATTGAACTTTCTGCAGTGATGGAAATGTGCTATATCTGCATTGTCCAATACAGAAGTCACTAGCCACATCTGGCTATTGGGCATTTGTTGTGGCTAGTGCAACTAAGGAACTGAATTTTTAAGTTTATTTAATTTTAGTTAATTTAAATTTATATACCCACATGTGCCTAGTGTCTACCATATTGTTAAGGCTTTAAAATGACTTAAAGTCAACTTGTACAGTAGTAGATATGCCTTGTCAGATAGTGAATTCATTAACTAAATGTCGTTTCATATCCAAGATTCTCTGGCTGTTAAATTATTTTACCTTGTTCTACATAGAGTCGTTACCACTCCTAACTTAGCTTAGTTTTAAAACAGCATCTCTTTTACTTTAAAAAGTTCTTTCAGGGGCCGGCCCGGTGGCATAACGGTTAAGTGCACACGCTCTGCTGCGGCGGCCCGGGGTTTGCAAATTCCTATCCAGGGCACGCACCGATGCACCGCTTGTCAAGCCATGCTGTGGTGGCGTCCCATATAAAGTAGAGGAAGATGGGCACGGATGTTAGCCCAGGGCCAGTCTTCCTCTGCAAAAAGAGGAGGGTTCGCATGGATGTTAGCTCAGGGCTGATCTTCCTCACAAAAAAAAAAAAAAAAAAGAAAAGAAAAATTCTTTCAAATCATAAACTTCAGCCCCCAAGTGCTAGTTTTTAGGAGACAGCAAAATTATGGATACTGTTACTGTGAGGGTAACATTTTTTTTACGTTTTAAAATTAAATTTTAAGCTGAAATGTTTGGGCATGGAATGTATTGATGTTTACAACTTACTCTGAAATGCATTCAGAAATGGATTGGTGGATGGATAGATGGTAGATATATGATAAAGCAAATATAGCGAAATGTAAATGATATATGGGTATCCACTGTACAATTCTTTCAACTTTTCTGAAAGTTTCATAATAAAATGAATAACCTTCATGATAAAATGTGGAGGGAAAATTAAATGCAAACATATTGAATATTTTAAAGTGTATTTTTTTTCCTGGATCTATCACTTCTCTGTTAAATAGAGCCAAGGAGCAATAACTGAACGTTTACGAAGTTTCAGTATGCATGATCTAACAGCCATCCAAGGGGATGAACCTGTGGGACAAAGACCATACCAAACTCTACCAGAAACAAAAAAGAAAAGTAAAGCAGCCTCCAGTGAATCAGCAGGTGTGCTTGTTTGTTTTAATATATCGTTCTTTCATAACTGGGATTTTGAGTCCAGATGGGTACTAAAATGAATACCTGGTAAATCTCTGAATTTGGGTAGACAGATTTATTTTTAAGCTTATATTTTTGAGCTTTACATTTAACTGTAGTTTTCTTTCTCTAAATTTTCTCTAAATAAGTTTAATGCTTGCCTTTTGTTGACTGTGGAGATAATCCAGCTAAGAAAGTAGCAGTAGTCTCTTGTGCTGCCATGAATTTTTAGAAGTGGTGGGTGTAGTTACCACCACCTCCCTACCACCAGCACTAGTTCTGACCTGTGATCAATACTCTTGCTACTCAAACTGTGTAGTGACATCTGAGGAGTTTTATAGTTAAACACTCTTTACTGTAAGTGCTGTGAACAAATAAGGATATTGACTCACAAGATGAAAAATTTTAAGTGGGTGACAAAAAGATGACTCAGTTGGAAAATAGGATTCTCCAGTGGAAAATGTGTTGAAATTACATATTTTAGTTCAAGAACTGACTTGTAGTATATTCTAATGTAAATGAGGAGCACGTCATAGTTATGTTCTAAAACTTTGATAAATTATTGTGATCGTAGAAACATACACATTAATAAAAAGACGTAGTTCCTTAGTCAGTTTAACACATTTAAGAAGATTGTAGTTCAAGGTTCAGCTAAGACCTGAGATCGTCAAGACATTTCTTATTAACGTATTACTAAGTTCATAAGGTACAGGGCTACTTGATTTTTGTTTTTTTAAGTAGAAGTTTTCTTTTGAGGGAGATTAAAAATCATCCTTTATAATTAAAATCAATTTGAAAAATAACAGTCCCTTCGTATAAAGAAAAAATAGTAAACTTTCTTTTAAGTTCTCCCTAGAATGAATAACTTTATAAAGTTGGTGGCTATTTTCTAAGAGGTGGTAATTCAGAAGTGGCCATTGATTAAGGTAGTAATGCGTTTAAGAGTGAGGAACCCATTGAACTTTGAACCATCATCCTTAATACATTAGTAATGTAAAAATAGTTACTCATTTTCTTTCTTTTTTTTTTTTTTGTGAGGAAGATCAGCCCTGAGCTAACATCCACGCCAATCCTCCTCCTTTTTGCTGAGGAAGACTGGCCCTGGGCTAACATCCGTGTCCATCTTCCTCCACTGTATGTGGGACGCTGCCACAGCATGGCCTGACAAGCGGTGTATCGGTGTGCGCCTAGGCCGCCAGCAGCAGAGCACGTGCACTTAACCTCGACCCAAGTTTTCTTAATATGTATTTAAAAATTAGGTATACTGATTTTGATTATGAGGTCTGCTGTATATATTTTGCTAATTTGGACCAGTAATGAGTCCTTTATCAGCAGTTTATTCAATCTTTTACTGTAGAATTGGTTAAGAATTATATTCCAATTACTTAAATGAAAACAGGATTACAAATATGAAAATCCATAATATTATTTTTATTTCTCTATTAAATTTAAAATGGTTGACTAAAATATTTTAAGATAGTGAGGTGCTATTTAGTTCTTTTAAATTTCAAACCGTGAAATTAAAATAACTTAAGATTTATAAAAATACAAAGTAAGTGGTAGCAGTACAAGAAAGGTACTTGTTCAGTTATGAAATTAAAATTTTAACATGCAGTACTTTGCCTAGATTCCATGTTTTCTACAGAATAGTATATATTTTGAGCTTTTCTTCCCTAAGGAAAAAATTTAACCAAAACTTTCTCTTGACAATATTTTTAATAAAGTAGTATGGTTCCAGGACAGGAATAGTTGAAGAGAAGATAATAATAGATAGTCTAGATAGACACAAGTCCGGATATACATGGAAATTTGCCAAATGAGAATGATGGCCTTTCAATTTGATGGGGAAAAGGCAGATTATAAGTGGTATTTGGATAAATGTCAGACTCAGAAAGTAGGAAAGGGAATGAAGTTATACCTCCACCTCAAACATAAATTCTTAAAAGATTAAGACTTAAATATAAGAAATTAAACCATATAGTAGGAAATTCCTGTGTATATTTTTATACTCTTAGGATAGATCAAACTTCATAAGCATAACATCAAAACCAGAAAACATAAAGGAAAAGTGTGAGAGATTTTTCTATATGAACAAACATAAAACCACCATATGAGGGGAAAAATCCCACACCATAAAAAAGACAAACTACTGACTGCAAGAAATAGTCTCATCACATGTTACAGGCAAAAGGTTCGGATTTTAACTATTCAGGAACTCTTACAAGTCAATTATTGTCAATTCTATCAACAAATACAGCTGAATAAGAAATACATGAAAAAGATATTCAGCCTTAGAGATAGTCAAAGAAATAGTAAATTAAAATAGTACTAATAGTAATTTTCACTCACTAGATTGGCAAAAAAATTTCTTTAACAGTGCTCTTTGTGGTAACTATTCTAGTTATCTATTGCTGTGTAACAAACCACCCCCAAACAGTGGTTTAAAAAAACCACGGTCATTTATTTTGCTCCTGAATCTGGGGTGACTGGGCTCAGGAAAGCAGTTCTTACTCAAGGTCTTATGCAGTTACTGTCAAACAGCAGCTGGGGCTGGAATCATAATCTCAAAGCCTTCTTCACTCACATGTCTGGTGTTTGAGCTGGCAAGAGTCAAACAGCTGGTAGCTAGAATAGTTGGGATTTCTCCAGCATCTCTCTCTCCTTGTTTCTCTATGTGGTCTCTGAGGGTCTCTGGGGTCGTTGGACTTCTTACCTGGCAGCTGCAGGCTCCCCGAGCCAGTGTCTCAAGAGAAAAGGCAGAAGTCATGCAGTGTCACTTCTGCCTTGAGGCTCTTAATTGAAGCAGTACCTGCAAAGGCCCTAGAGATTTAAGGGAAGGGGAGAAAAGTGTCAGAATTTATGGACATGTTTTAAAACCACCACAGCAAGCATGTTGGGAAACAAACACTCCCATAAACTTTTTATGGGAGTTTAAAGTGGAGTAATCTTTTGGATGACAATCTGGCAATCATTATCAAAAGTTATTCCCTTTAACTCAGCAAGAAACTTCCAGGAATATGTCATAAGGAAATAATCAGACAAGTATTCAAAGATGCATGTACAAGAGTGTTCATCTCATTGATGTTTATCGTAACAAAACGTTGGAACAAACCAAACGCTTAAAAGAAATGGTTAAGCAAAAAGGTGACTTATTAGCCATGAAAAATAATGATGTCAGTCTACACTTACTGACATAAAAACATATCCAGATCGTGGGGGAATCAATAACAACGAAATAGTATGTTTTATAATCCTATACTGTAGAGACACAATAGGCAGATGAAATGGATTAATATACATAAAAAATTATTTTTCAAATATATATAGAGAGAAAGGAGAGTCTGGAAGGGTATTACTAAAATGTTAACAGTGTTTATCTCTGAGTAGTGGGATTTTAGTGATTAAAAAAAAAAATCAACCTATTACTCAAAATCAGAAATAAAACAACAGTACTCTTTTGAAAAATAATTAAGGTACTCATTTTTTTTATATCATGAATTTTTTTCTATTTCATTTACTTCCAAAATCACTCAAGAAAAAAACAAATTGATAAGTTTTTCAGTGTGGGAATTAAAATTCACATTGCCAAGTCTGTTTACCAGTTCATGCGATCCATACATTTACCTCAGAAGCTCTGATTGTTCACACAAGCAAATTCAAATATCTGGAAAAGGGGGTCCCTTTTGAAAACTCATCATGGCCTGATCTGAGCAGTTTGAGGTTAGCCAACCAAGAGCAGTTCTGCTTTGATGAAGTTATTCAAATCTGCATGTTGTCACTGTGGGAAAAAGAGCTGCCTCTAAATGCTTTTTGGAAGAAAATGGACAACCTTCAACATGATGTTCACTTCCTTTGAAAGAACACATTTTTGATAAGTGGAAATATTTTTTCCTGCAAATAACCTGCTGCTCCCATATTAGTTAAAAGTGATTGAATATTCAGGTTCAGTACCAGCACATAAGGAGATTTTTGCTTTGTTTTAGATGCTTTACATCTTTATTTAATCCTTAAGGTGACGATGCAGGTTAAATATTTTTATCCTTATTTTGTGGATGAATAAACTGAGGCTCAAGGAGATTAAATTACTTGTCAAAGACTACATACTCAGTGACAGAAATGAGGTATTCAAAGTTCCTAACCTAAGTCTTATTCTCTTTTTAGTTTATAAAGAGACTACACTTAGTGAGACAGTTGGGCTGGAACTATGAATTCAAAAAATTTGAGCAGGAAGGAACCTTAGAGATGCTTTAGTCAAAGACGGCAAATAAGTGGGCATGCCTACCCCCTGCTCCCGTGCCTGTGGTGGGAGACGTTGCTGATGGGTTGTGGCACTTTCCCACGCTGACTCAGAATTCTACTCGACATGTGCCCAGACAGCTCAGCTGGCTCAGAGTTGGTGTTCATATAGAAACTCATTCATCTCTCATCTGTCTCACCACCTTACCAGATAAGAAAACTGAGGCCGAGGAGAGGCAAGACTCACTCAAGGTCTCAGCTAATGGGTGGCAAAGTACTCACTTCTCCTAACATAGGCCCAAGGCTCCTTCCAAACCAAACTTTCTATGATTCTGCACTTACATTAATACATCAAAACTGCTTAGAACAGTGCCTAGTAAATGCTAAGTACCAGGTCAATATTGGCTATTATTATTATTATAAGGAGGGAAGACAAAATATACCAACTCTAAGATGTACAGGCTGTGAATAAAACCAGGTCAGTTTGCAAAAGCATCTGCTAGTTTCCTAAAATGGTAACAGAGCTCTGGGCTGAAGCTGGCCAGGCAGCTGCAGCCTTAGACCCCAGGGCCCCTGGCAGCACAGGCTCCTCGTTCTTAGGTTCCCAGTCACTGCTCCTCAGGAATGTGCATGGAAGGCACTGTTCCAACGTCTCTGTCCAGCCTAGATTGATGATATGAAGCTGCCAACCTGAGCATCACCTTTGTACCGTCCCAGCTTTACCCCTCCAGCGTCACCTTGCCCAGGCTTGGCAGACCCATAAACCACTCCTCCAACTCGCCGAGTTCCTGTGCTGATGTGGCATCCAGATATGGGCTTCTCTCATGATCTTAGGTCTCCCTCTCCTCCTCTGAAGACTTTTAAATCCTCGGACAACTTTGACTAACATTATTTCCACCACTCACAGCAGAATTTTCATACATACTCATTTCCAGGTTTTAAGTGGAATAGAAAATGCATATTTTAGTGAAGATATTTGACTTGTGTCCTTTCTTTTTGATGCAGGGTTTGGTTTAGAAAGTTAAGTTAAACATGTCAATTTCACCTCCATAGATCCCAAATTTGACTACTTTCTCTGTCCTCCCTCCTTGGACTCCGTCATTTCTGACCTGCCAGACTTGCTATAACCTCCCTGCTTCTAGTCTCATGTACTTCTGTTTCATTCTCCCAAGTGCAAGAAGAATCTTTTCCAGAACCCAAATCTAATCATGTCACTCTTCTGCTTAAAATGTTTCACTGCTCCCCACCCCCCGCAACGCCCACTGCTCTCTGATGAAGTCCAAACTCAGTAGCATGCGGTATATTAGCTCCCCAGCCTTGGTCTCCCACTCCATCATGTGCTAGGAATATAGAATCATGAGCCTCTCAGAATTCAGACCTCCTACAAGAAGTCCCCCGTAACCCACTGCCCCTGCCCCCAGGCTGATTACTACTCTTACTCTGTGTTCCTGTAGCACCTTGTCCTTATTTTCTATTCATAGCATTTACTACAGTATTGTACTGCCCGTTAGAGTCTGTTTCCCCTATTAGACTGTAGGTTTCTTAGGATAGAAAAAGATAGTTGTGTCTTTTTCATCATTGTATCCCCATAATTTAGCACGCTGCCTCACACATAGAATTTTAAAAATACTTGCGGAATACTGAATCAATCTATCACTTTTCCTGAAACCATAATTGGAAAGCTAATAAAATTTTTTTTAGCTAAAATCAGGGAACAAAGAAGAAATAAGTTGTATATATAATCATCTTTTGAATGAAATTCCAATTCCTAATCATGTTAAATGAGATTCAATTAAAATGACATGGGCCATGAAGTATTGTCTTGTGCTTCATCTGTGGCCTTAGAGAAGTTTTTTTTATTTTTTTTGTTGAGGAAGATTTGCTCTGAGCTAACATCTATTGCCAGTCTTCCTCTTTTTTTCTTGAGGAAGACTAGCCCTGAGCTAACATCTTTGCCAATCCTCCTCTAGTCCGCATGTGGGTCGCCACCATAGCATGGCTTGAGTGGTGCAGGTCTGCATCCGGGATCTGAACCCACGGACCCAGGCCGCCGAAGCAGAGCATGCCGGACTTAACCACTGCACCATGGGGCCAGCTCCTGAGAACTCTTGGATCGTTGTCACTTCCTTTCTCTTTCCTTGATTCCTCATTCTGTGTTTTACCTTAGTTTTTATCATATTGGGATTAGGAATATAGTATAAGCAACAGCAATAGAGAAAAATCTAGCAATGAGAATCTAAAAATATTTTTTTTCTGGCTTATTTTCCCCAATTATAGAAGTAATATCATTTTTTAAATAAAAATTTGGCAAATTAAAAAAAAAAAGGAAAAATGAAGAAATTTTAAATCACCTAAAAGCCCACTTCTAAGAGATGTAATGGTTTCATTTTTATGTTTTTCCTTTGTTTGTTTCTATATGTACATTTTTTTCCCACTTAATAGTGCATCAGGAGCATTTTCCCAGGACTGCTGACCCCATCCCCTCCCCTGGCCACACTGGCCTCCTCGAAGTTCTTCCAGGCAGTCATGCTCCCTGCTGCCCTAGTGCCTTTGCACACGCTGTCTCTTCTACCTAGAACACACTTCCTTGGACTGCTGCAGGAAAACAAAGGATCTCTGCCTAAATGATGACTGATTCTACTTCCAAATCCTTACTAATTTCTATCTTAGAAGTCTGGCAGCATAAAATTGTACTCGCTTAATATACAATTAAAGATGTTTATCTTATTATGAGACCAAGAGGCTTATTAACAACTCTTCGTGGTTTGCTTAGTGAGTCTCAAATTATTCATGTCCTGAAAGAGCAGATTAATAAATGTTTATTCAGTATATTTTTCTTCACACACAAGAAGTCCATCCCTTGCACCCTCTTGAGCCTGGAAAACCTGCTACTTTTTTCTCTCCTAAAGATTTAGGCTTCTATGCTCCTTATCTTTATTAAAGGAGAATTTGAAACCTTGTAACCTCACCCTTGTCTTTATAACCTACCTAGTACTCTGATTGCCTTAGACTTGGGATCCTCTCTTGCTCCATCCAGGCAGTGGTTCTCAAAGTGTGGGTCTGGACCAGTACCGCAAGCATCACCGGGGAACTTGTTAGAAGTGTAGATTCTCACCCCAGGCCCAGCAATCTGTGTAGTAATAAGTTCTCCAGATGACTGTAATATGTGCTAATAAGTTTGTGCTAATAAACTCTATTAAGTATGAGAACCAGTGCTTCAGGAATGGGAGCTTTCTTGTCCCTGAATCCCAGCCTCAGGATGCTCTCAGACTTCCTGACAATAACCAGCCTGACTGCCTGAATGTTGTAATATGGTAGTACCCCCTTATCCGCTATTGCAGTTTCTGGAATGCCTATGTTACTTCATCTCATCATATAGGCATTTTATCATCTCGCATCATTATAGTAAGAAGGGTGAGTACAGTACAATAAGATATTTTGAGAGATACCACATTTACATAACTTTTATTACAGTATATTATTATAATTTTCTACCTTTTTTTTTTTTTTTTTGGTGAGGAAGATCAGCCCTGAGCTAACATCCGATGCCAATCCTCCTCTTTTTTGCTGAGGAAGATTGGCCCTGGGCTAGCATCCGTGCCCATCTTCCTCTACTTTATATGGGACGCCACCACAGCATGGCTTGACAAGCGGTGTGTTGGTGCGTGACCAGGATCCGAAGCTACAAACCCCAGACTGCTGAAGCGGAGCGTGCACACTTAACCACTGTGCCACCAGGCCAGCCTCTAACTTTCTACTTTCTTATTAATTATTGTTGTTAATCTCTTAGTGTGCCTAATTTATAAATTAAACTTTATCATTGGTATGTGTGCATAGGAAAAAACAAAGTATATATAGGGTTTGGTACTATCCACGGTTTCAGGCATCCACTGGGGATCTTGGATCGTATGCCCCGGGGTTAAGGTGGGGCTTACTGTATTGGCCAATGTTAAATCTTTGCAGCTATGCAAAGCAGCCTCTTAGCACACCCGCACAGTCTCTTGCTGACCTTCCTGATGCTGGCTATTTTCTTTGACTAACATCTGTCATCATAGCCTGTGGTATTTCTAATTGCTATAGCCTGTCTGGCTGGGTTTTATTTCAGCAGCTGCAACAGTGTTGGTTTAACATCTCCATCACCTGCCCCCAGTGAACTTATCTTGCCCAAAGTTCTAGTCCCTTTGGGTCTTATATGACTCCTTAAGTTCACCCTACCATTCCTGATCTTGACAAAAGGCTTGACACATTGTGGGGGGGCAGTTGGGGGGCTTATTCTTAATTAAAATCAAAGGTACAAATGACAGATTAAAACAATTGCTTAGGTTGTTTAGAATTCATGAAAAAGAGAAAGAGCAGGGAGAGACTTTTCACTGTATATCTATTTATATTCTTTGATTTTTAAACAAGATAAATGTGTTACCTACTCAAAAATAAATTATTTTTAATTATTCTGAAAAAATGCATAGTAAAAATAGGAATGGTCAGGGAAAACTTCCTGGAAGAAATGAGTTATGAGCTTCATCTAGAATAGTGCAAGGGGCAGAGATTAATGATGAAGGGCAAGGAGTACATTCCACATGGGAAAGGGAGAGGAGTAACCCGGCAAATACAAACCACGCGGAGAACTGCAAACAGGCACAGTGAAGAGGCAGTGCTGACTGGTATCCTTTGACCAAAACATGCTGGTTTTGACAACTTGCTTAGGTTATGGAATTCCACTGAAAGACGGAGATGAAAAAACAGATGAAGAAGCGGATGGGCCATATTCAGATGATGAGATGGTAACACACAAAGGGCTTCGAAGATCACAAAGCATGAAATCTGTGAAAACCGTGAAAGGCCGCAAAGAGGTTAGTCAAGTATAGAGTTGTTTTCCTATAATTAGTATTAAGGGGTCTCCCTGCTGCATTGTCATTCAGGATATTAATGATCCATAAATGAAAGATTGAAATGATAGAGCAGCAGTTATATTTAAAATTCTTTATTCAGATCTGATGTATTAGGGTCTACGGAAATTTAGAAAATGGTAAATTTCTAGTCTTCCACTATAAGCAGAAAATGGTATTCTCACATAGCAAATCCTATGGTTGTCATGAGTACCCAGTGCCAGCGCTATGCATAAGCAAAGAAAACAACTAACAGAATTAACCACATGGTTTCACCTTGAACCAACCCTACGTAAGGATTAAACAGTAAAAGTTTATTATCCGTAATAATATATTGTCTTTGTGCCCAGAAAACAGTCGAGAATTCCAGTGAATGGCCTCAGATCATTGTGAGCAATGTTCATTGACATGTAGCAAGCAAAGCATAAATAATTACAGTTAATGTTTTTATTTGTTATTAGTGGGGATGATCTGCAGCATGTATCCAACAGAGTACCAACTACATTTTTGAGTATATAAGTGGTGCTGTCTTTTGAGTACACACTTATAGGATAATTGATTCTTTATATCAGAAAAGTTAAACAATTATTACTACAATTATGAACTATTAAGTCCTATCTAATTTCAAAAAGTGATCATCTAATTTGTAATAATACATTTCTCTCTTCAGGTGCGGTATGGGTCACTAAAATATAAAGTGAAGAAGAGACCACAGGTGTATTTTTAGTTATATACACTTCGCTATCCCAAGACAAATTATGCTAATACATCGACTTTTTTTTTCTAACATTATATGTTCAGGATTTACACGTTAAAATAATTCTTTAAATTGTGGCGGTGGTAGGGTTTACTTTCATCAATTTAAATAGTTTTTCTTCTTTAACAATTACTTCCAAATCTTGACTACTAAAGGTAGTTATGCAAAGCTAATTTGTGTGTATATATATATATATATATATATATATCAGAAATAATAGAAAATTGTGTTAGCTGTTTTCAAATTCCTCAACAACACTGAGTGCCTGGGATATGAGATGAAACGCGAACCCACAGTATACTTGAAAAGAGTATTTTTATGGTTCAAGATACATCAGCCTTTGCGGTAATGTATTGTGTTTACCTCCATTTTTGTTATATCTGTCACATGAGGATAGTAATTAAATGGGCCTCTGATCCAGCAGTGGTAGAACAAGGGCATAATGTAAGATAAAGTATGTTTTATATATTCTTTACATTTTTACTTTTTTAATCCTTTCTAGTTTTTCCACCATCAATGAAAGTTTTCAAAACAAATATTTGAAAACCAGGTATCCACATAGCACTTTTATTCCTGACTAGTTTTGCACACTTGAAAATTGTTTACTTATTTTATGACTGTACATTTATTTTTTTATTGACACTATCTTTATTGTTATTTGTCATATTCTAACATGTCAAATTTATGCCTTGAATTGCATCATTTCTTTTCATTTGTTAAATAGTGGGTTTCATTTGTTAAATTTATTTGATTTTAATAATATAAAAATATAGCTAATTCAATTTTAATTATTTCTATCTTCTTTACAGATAAGAAGTTATTTTAAACATTAACCAGTTTTCCATATTTAGCTCTATATTGTAGTTGAACTTAGCATGTTCTTAACAACACTGGTTACATTTTCAGCCTTCAAAAGTAGTGGTTTGTGTGAAATATTGTCAGAGACCAGTATAACACTTAGGTGTCTTCTAATTCATGAAATTATCCAACAGCCAATCCATTCGCAAGCTTGGCACTGATATGTGCTGCTGATTTATAAATCTGGCATTGACTAGAATCATGTGAATCCCTTCTCTTCTGGCCGAGATAATTTCCTGAAGATAGGTGCCAGTGCAAAATGCAGATTTTGTTAATCGTACACATTAGAAGCTATTAGAATAGATATTAGAAAAATATCATTTTTTTAATCCAAAATATTTTTAATTACTGAACCTTGGAGGTTTTTTTAGGTTGCATCGATAACTATTCATTATGAACTCTAAACTCATATATTTCTGGTGATAATTTTAGTGATCAGTAATCAAATCTGACAATTGTACTTGTTCAGATAATTTACTGTTCTACTTGTTTGTCCAAAAAAAAAAACGAGAGAGATTTGTGAGATCTTTGACCTTTCTACCTTTTAAGAAATGAAACCAGCTGGCAATGTATATTTCAGGACCTCCTCCTAGTGTTGGCAGAGAACAGAATGTTTACTCAGGAATACCTTAGTATAATTCATACATTTCTCTTGATATAAGTCGAAATATTTTCTAGATTATCTCACATTCGTGTTATATAACATTAAGTAAAATTTCATTCAACTTCTTTTCTCCCAAAGTTTAATTCTATGAATATCTTCATCTACTTTACCTTGACTAATTTTTAGCCTGTTAGTTTCTGAAAAGACTCTTTAATTTGTGTTCAAAATTCCTATGAATTCTGATTATAAACTCTTGGAAAAGAGGTTTATTTATATTGCCTAATACTAGACTTATTAATATAAATGCTATACCATGCTTGTCTTTCCTAGCTAAAGGCAGTGTCATCTCAAATTGCCTGAGAAGGTCATGTTAGTGACTTTGTATCAAAAACGATACCTATGGGGGCTGATTTGCACTATTTTATCTTTTTCAGGTCTAATCTCAGTATTAAACCTATTCTTTAATTACAGTAAACTCATATATACGGTTCTAAGTTGAAGGAATTATTTATCCCTCTACACTTCTAGAATCACAACCTTTAATCAAAGACAACACCAGTCTCAAAGAGATGATGCAAGTCCTTCTGTTTAATTATATCTCTTCCCACTCACAATGCTTCCCCTGATAGAATTCTACTATTACATCCTTACATACAGCCAATGTCATTTTGCCTTTCTATCGTTTCATTTCTCTCCTTTTCTTACATTGCTTAAATTTTGCTTCTTTTCTCTTATGTGTTTTAGCATGCCCTTTCCTTTGAACGTGCTATAGTAAGCTCATAAATTTTTTTCTTTTAAGGTGGAGCAGTTCATTTTTTGTTCCTCTGCTTTTAAGTATACTGGTTTTAAAAGAGGTAAATTCATCCCTCGACCTCAGTGCCTTGCTTTCCCACTGCCACCACTTGGCGAGTGGGCATCAGATGCTGCACAAACTATTTAGGGCTCTATTTTGGTTAAATAGCTGTTAAAGTTTATCTAGAAATTGTAGCCAGTGTTTTATTTTATTACATATTCATTCAACTTGTTCATTGATATTAACTATTTCCAGAGTTTGTTTGAAAGTAAGAATGGGTCTATTCTTTAGTTTACCATATTTTTTATGGTATAAAAATGAGCCAGAAATAAACCTTATTGCTAAGTAATTAATTATCTAAACCAACCTAGGTCCTACATAAGATTCCCTCCACACACTTCATTATATGTATGTGGATTTGGCTAGAAAATTACACTGCCAGCCTTACTGATTATAAATACTTGACTACACAGATTGATGGAACAAAATTATTATTAAAGTGTTTTCAGGGAACTTAATCCATATGTCACCACCAAAGATTTCTACAGTGTTATAGAGTATGTAAATATTCCAAATTTCTGTAAAACATTGGTTACATAAATATGTTTTCTTTCTTTCTTTTTTTTGGAAAAACACAGTTTGTGCTTTTGGAATGCTTGAACTTTTGTATTTGAAAATAATGCAATACTATCTTATATTAAGTATCAGTAATTTGTATTTTTAATTGGAATGGGCTAAATTTTCATTTTGATTTGCTTTTATCAGGAAAATTAAGGCATTAATATGTACTGAAAAGCAGTTTCCTATGTTTTTTCCTGTGTAGGTTGATTTATTTGCAAAGCAATTAGGTAAACTTTGAGATCATTGTTACTGTGGTATGTGGTATGTATATTTCTTAGTAAACATCATTTAAGATTAAAGCTTTCTGAAAGGAAAGTACAGCTTTTTCTCTAAATGTTTTTTAGGATTTAATCTTCTAGTAGTATCCTACAGATTTAATGTATATTAACTCTTTAAACACTGATCATGAATTAATACTTTTTCTTTTAACACCTTTTAAATCTGTGTACTTTAATAGTTAAGAGAAAGCAGTTTTGTAATTTTTTAATTTCTTTGTAAAGGCTATCTTTAGGCCTAGTATGGGGATAATTTTACAAATGTGTTTTTTGAAAACTTTAATATAAAATAAACTCATTTTATTAGTGACTTCTTGTATTTTTTTCTTGTGTCAGAGTACATGTTGGGTTCCATGAATTGATATTATTTATAATTGAGTATGTCCTGATTAAATAATAGACAACATGTGCACACACTTAAGATTACAAATCACAGAGAAAATTATAAAAAACATGTGCATTCTGGAATGCTCATTCATAGGATTACAAAAGAAACACTAAATTGTTAAATTTGGATGTTAGAAAGGGAAGATACGAAAAAACAATTAATATAGAAACCCTAGCCATCAATTTGTATTGGTTAGCTGTCTCAGACATAAAATATAATGCAAAATTCAGTTTTATGTATCCTGGAAATGTTCTGGGGTTCCATCTGTTTTAAAGTCAGACGTCTGTCTGCCTCACATTTAAGCTTTAGAGAGAAATCGTATGTTTAAAAAAGTTTCTTTGTGTTACTTCATTATGATATATAATGTGTGTGAAAGTATTTCCAAATGGAGTTATATTTTTATTTTTATTAGGACGTATATCCTTGTGATGATCCAAAGAAGTTAGAAATGAAAATAAAAATTCAAAAGAACACACTGGGTATATGAACTGCAGCATTTTTTCCACTGTTTTATTCTCCCTTTAAGTGGTTCACTGTTCTTGAGAAAGAGATTCATGGAACAAAAATCATGTCAGAAACTGACTCATTGTTCCCTGGAAAACATTCTGCCCCTTTGCATACCCATCAATAGTCCAGCCTTGAAATACTCTCCTTATGGTCTGGTTTTGGTAATGTTTTTTAAATTGCTTTTTATAAGATAATGCTTTGAATTGAAATTTTAAAGCACAAGAATGATAATTGTAAGTGTAGGATGCTAAAAGACTCTGCTCAACAAAAGCAGGAAAATCACCATGTTTACTCTTAGTTTACCTGGCAATCCTAGATTAGGGTCAAGGGGAAGGAAGAAGAAAAAGGAAAGTATGGTATTTTGGCATTATGTACAAATCAAATTAGCGTCAATTTTTTTCAAAAATATTCCTTGAGTGCCTACTGTGTGCAGTAGCACTGTTATGTTTCTGCATAATGCCTATATCCAAGTAGGATAGCATAACAATTAAGGAAAATAATTCTTGCTTTAAAAAAACAAATTCACTATTACCAAATATTTGAATTATTTGAGTATTATTTATGCTAGGATTTCTTCTAGGTTGTTGAATAATTTATTTAGTTTCTCTCAAAGGAGGTTTTTTTTGGTTTGGTTTTTTTAATCCTTGATTCCCTTTCCCTGACCTCTTACATCTGATACATTAGTAAGTCCTTTTGGCTTTCTCCAAAATATATCCTGAATTAGACCATTAAAAACTCCCCTCCCCTCCAGCTTCTCTAGTTTAAACCATCATCGTCTCCCACCCGGAGTACTCAGGGCATAACTTTTATTTAAGGCAGAATTTCTTGAACCCTTATTACATTTTTCGTAGGCTTGCAAAATTTTCAAGGTGACTCTTAACCTTGAGTCCCATAGAACTGTCACAGTTTATCTTTTCAACTTGTACCTTTGGGAAATACAAAAAGAGAGAAGGTTGTAAAAAGAGAACAGAGGTGCAGAATAGGAACAGATGGTTTTTGCACATCAGCTTTGGAAGAGAACTTTCT